TATAATATCTGCATATAAATGTTAATCCAATCTCATTTTAAAACAAATTCTCATTTAGCATTGTTAGCCTATTTCACTAAATATGTCTCTGTGAGGTCAGTAAATAAAATATTTATGTCAAGAACATGTGGAAATTGATCTCTAAAGCTGCAAGATAACATTTCATGATAATTACATTTTTAGTTTTGGAAGATAAACCAGAAAGAGAAGGAAACTATTTATTGAGGAAAGGGATTCCTACATATGAACCCACCTAATTCTGTGACCTATTGAATTATACAGGAGTGAATATGACCTCAATATGTGTTAATGAACTCTATCTAAAAGCTGCTCCTCTGTATTTTACCCCACTTGCTAATCAGCTTTCTTCCTAAACAAATCAAAGGGCCTACCTGAGAAAATGGCCCAATTTAAAAAGTCATAAAATGAGATCAGATATCACAGCACATCTTGTGGCAAAAATCTGGTTGAAAAGGCACTAAAATGAAATATTTTAGACATCCTATTAACTTTTAAGCCCCTATTATTGTCTTTTAAATTGATGCATACATTTCTTTGTTAATATATTGGGTTTTTGCATACTCATCGTTGGAACAGTTAACCTTCTCTTGAGTTTATGCCTTCACTAGGACATTAGAACAGCTACAATTGCCAGATGGAATTTAGTTGTTATATCACTATTTTCATTATTTCAAGTTTCTTGCCATGATTTTATACTATTTATTTTTGCTAATCTAGTAATTGGGGCACAGCATGATTAAATCATTTGCTCACAATATGCTGTGAGTAAATAATAGAATTGGGAAAAGTTAATAATCCCTTAGTAATAAAAATCTAAAAGCAACCAATTTATAAAGTAGCTACTACTTCTCAATAAATTGTTATATTTTTCTGGTACTTACCTTGAATGTTAAAACATAAAAGAAATGTTCCAGTGTAATCTGTAATGATTTAATCAAGGGAACCCAAAGGTGACTGTTTGTATTTAAAATAGCTTAATAAATGTGTTTCACAGAGAAGCCAAGTACATATCAATAACAAAAGGTAAACTGGCACTTGTTAAATTCATGCATCTCAAAATATATAGGAGGACCAATAAATGGTCAAACTTCTTCCTGAATCACTGACAGTGAGATTTATCTACCCATTGTAAAACTGCTGCCCTTGACTCCAAATTGCCCTTGACTACTGTGCCAGATAACCTACTAATCCTTCCTGTTGTAGAGGTGGAAAAGACAAAGTTATGCCATTTTAAAAGCATACTAAAATGTACTAGAAAATGAAAAATCTAGTCCCTTATTATACTACAAAACAAATGTTGAGTATATTCTTCTGTCAAAACCAGATCATAGTGTGACATTTCTTGAACCTGAACAATGTAGCTCCCCAGGCTAGGTCTTCATATCCCAGTTTAAGAAATACTGGTGTAGTTTGGGGTGTGAACTGAGGGTACTCAGGCTAAAATTCCAGCCATGCTTATAGTAAACTTTGCTAAGAAGACCAAGTCACTTAGCTTTTCTAAGTCTCAGTGCTCTTCGACTATTAAACAAGGATAACAATACTAGCTGCTTTATAGACTTACTGTGAGAAGTAAATAAAAAATAAGGATACCCATATATTCTCTGTTGCCAGTGCATTAAAATATTCATTACTGAAATGTTTAGCCTTAGTTAAGTTCTCTGAACTTGTTCCACAGTTTGTTACTTCAAAGCCTAAAGCCAAATAAGAGTTCTAAAGCCCCTTCCTTTCTGAGGAACTCCACTGTAAATGACTACAGACCTGCTTTACTTTTTACATCATTAAATCACTGACAAAATTAAAATCTGAGTCAAGTAGAAATATGATTCATCTCATTTGATAGGTTATGTTCCCTGCTCTTGAATATGAAGTAGGTTGGCTTACAGGAAGTAGGAGAGGGCTGAAGTAAAGAAGGACAAGAGTGGGCACCATCCTGGGATCTGGGAGACATGAGGTCACATCTCCACACCACATCCACTAGGTGTATTTCAGACTCTGCAGTCATCTTATAAACAGATTCCCACCCCTTGTTATGAAGACTGAACTATAAAAGAAAGATGTCTTAAGTATTCACTCATCTTAAGGTCATGAAACTAAATGGAAAGATAGAACAGAAAAACAGACCTGCATAAGTCCTGAAATACCATGTGGGAATGGATGAGTAGGGATGCAAAGCAAACTTAGGAAAATATAAGTGACTGAATTAAAAATGGGTGTTCAGGTGAAATCTTTGACCTGTTGAATGAATAAGATACATACGTTGGATAGAAATTATTTAGTACAAACTTGTGATTGTACCATGTAGTGTGCCATCACCATTGTGGTTGAGCTCAAATGTAAGTTGTTTATGCCAATTATGTCAATAGTTTACTCTCTTATTCCATGTGCAATCTAAACAAAATTAGGCGGAGAGGAAACCAGAACAATCAACCGTCCCTATTTATTGATTCCCTATCCCAGGAAATGACCTGAGGTAAGAGACAGCAGACTCACTCCTGATTGGGAAAGCAGGTATTCAGTGACCACATAAAGGGGGAGAACTTCTGTGACTGACAAAAGACCATGTTGTCTGTATCAGGAGAGGAATGGAGTGCATTTTGAAGCTAGAATTTGCAGAAATTCATGCATAAGTATCCACTGACTGAGAGTATGGTTGATCAGTGTAATAGTTTGATCTTCCATTGCTGGATAGTGATCTGAGACTTCTTGAGAGATCCCTCTAACTCAAAGCTGATATTTCTCTGCTAATATAAGTGGAAATAAGTCCAGGGTAGTTGGTGATTTCATTGTGGCACTGGACCACTGCTGCTCTCCAGTTGTTTAAGTCCTGAAGAGTCCCAGGTGGGTGGAAAGAGGGTCTGCTGTGAAACCCACCAGCCAGCTCTTTGCAGTTCCTAAACATGTGTACCCTGGCCGAAATGGGTCCAAACCCTGAAAAGGGGAAGCCATACTCCCATTGAGGAAATGCCCGGGGTCTATCTGGCTCCATGAGAGTGTGACTAACACCCAATGACTAGTACTTCCTTCCACTATGGTCACCTGTGGAAAGAAGACCTGTACATGGTTTCTGTCAATAACTATCTTGGCCATTCCCTTTCTCTGACTCCAAACTCCCTTACTGCTCTATCTCTACTGGGCTAGAGAGGAGTGGATAAGAGTCTTTCCCATGCTGACTCCAGGGAGTAAGAGAGAAACAGACTGAGTTAAAGAGTTTACTGTCTCTAGTCTCAGGCCCCAATCAATTAAATAGGCTTTTGCATTTGGAAGAAAAAAAAAGAAAGAAAAATATGGGAATATTTTTCTAGATCCCATAGTACTTGCAAGCCTAAATAAGTTGGGGTGATGGTGACTCTTGGTTAACAACACCGGCCTAACATGAATATTGTGAAGAGAAAGGAGAAAAAAACTAAGTGTGGACGGTACCTAGGCTTCCGCAACACAAACCTGAACCACTTCCAACATCAATTTCGTACAACTACAAGGCTTGTTATCTCATTTAGTGTCCCAAGTTTCATTTAATAATCAATTGCCATAGCTTGCTCAACTCTCAATAATGAGGTAAATTTCTCCAGAACCTTGTTATCTAAGAACCTTCAGTACATGACCAAGAATATAGTGGAAACACTGTATTCTTTTAAAAGTTAAAAACAGTAGGGAATTTCCTCAAAAAACTAAAAATGAAATTGCCTTTTGACCTGGCAATTCTGATGCTGGGATTATATCCTAAGAACCCTGAAACACCAATCCAAAAGAACCTATGCACCCCAATGTTCATAGCAGCACAATTAACAATAGCCAAGCATTCGAAGTGCCCATCAGTAAATGAGTGGATCAGAAAACTATGGTATATTTACACAATGGAATACTATGCAGCAGAGAGAAAGAAGGAGCTCCCACCCTTTGCGAAAGCATGGATGGAACTGGAGAGCATTATGCTGAGTGAAATAAACCAGGCGGTGGTGAAGGACGCATACCATGATCTCACCTGTAACTGGAACCTAATCAACGAAACAAACAAGCAAGCAAACACTGAAGTTAAAAACAATCTGACAGTAACCAGAGGGGAGGTGGGAGGGAATAATGAGGGGAAGGGTTTATAGAAACAACTATAAAGGACACATGGACAAAACCAAGGAGGGGTGGAAGCAAGGGAGGGAGGTAGGGATGGCTGGGGTTGGGGGGGTAGTGGGGGGTAAATGTAGACAATTGTAATTGAAAAACAATAAAATAATTTTTTAAAATGGCACTACTGTATTTCCTTTATGTAAAATTTTATTGATCTATATTTCCATCATTAACTCCCTTTAGTCAAAACAAAATCAGCATTAGCTAAATTTCTTTCTTTCTTTCTTTCTTTCTTTCCTTCTTTCTTTCTTTCTTTCTTCTTTAAGAGTTTAGATTTTATTTATTTATTTTTAGAGAGAGAGGAAGAGAGGGAGAAAGAGAGAGAGAGGAACATTGATGTGAGAGAGAAATATCAATTGGTTGTTTTCATTAAGGGTCCTGACCAGGAACCAAACCTGCAAACCAGCCATATGCCCTGACCTTGATCCTAACTGGTGACCTCTTGCTTTGTAGAATGATGCCCAACCAACTGAACCACACTCTTCAGGGCTTAGTGCTAAACTCTTTCTGTGAATTCATTTTAACTGTCTTTTAGAAATGAATGCCAAAAACTTTAAAACAACAGCATACTAAATGAATAAACCTCTTTGTTCATTGTATCAGGAAAAGAATGGAGGATGATAAGAAAGAGTATCTTCTTGCCAAAGAACTACTAGTGGCATAAAAAGCAAAACCAAAATACAATTTCAAAGTGGAAAATGAAAAAATTAAAATTAAAAGAAAAAGAGAGAGTCACTAAAGCTGGTTCAAAAAAAAGGTGAAGGGATTAACAAACACAAATTGGTAGCTACAAAATAGTCATGGAAATGTAAAGTACAGCATACAGAATTTAAAAAAAAAAGAAGGAGGCACTATACCTGTTGTAAATCCAGCGTAATGGTCACGTAATGGTACTCAATTCCATTCTTAATACTGGGACTCTGCCACCACGTGTTCTTCCCATCAATAGCATTTGTAATTGGGTGTCTCTCTAATGAATCAGCAGCAGCATGTGAAAGGAGGAGAAAAGATCACATAATAAATGTACAGCTGTTACTTTAAAGGAAAAAGTTAAAAGTGAGTTAAAACCATGAGCATTTGACTATCAAACATTAAAATAATATAAGAGAGAGCAACTCATATCTTCAAACCCATTTATTTAATGTCACCCTTTCCATAGCACTCTAAACAACAGCGTAAAATGGCTAAAACTTCGGCTATAAAAGAAGAACCTGCTCAGCACTCTGACCATGGACTAAAATGGGCAAATTGAACGATAACTACAGAAATTCAGTGTGAACAAATAATATTGAAATCTAATTGATGTGTCAATCATTCAAACATTAAAAAAGCAATATCTCTACTGTTTGGGGTGGCTCTAGTATGCCATCAACTCTGTTAACAGAAACATAAAATCCTAAATTGTGATTTAAAGGTACCTGCAGACTTGTCCTACTGACTTGTCCTACTGACAAATTCATTACCAAGACTAGGGCAATTCAATATGTACCTGGTTTTAATACAAAGGGCTGTCAAATCCATCTTAAGAGGCTTTTTGTAGTTAGTTCTAAACTTGCCAACCTTCCACCTCTATTTAAAAATATAATAAAAGATACTCCAAATCTTCCAGTCAGCATTTGTCTGTTCCCATACTCCCTAACTCGGTGGAGAAGTCTGGACAATAATGGCAAGAGGACTGCACAGGAAACTCCATCCTGCCCACAAAACATGGCTCTTGCCTTGCCTTTACTCCAATATATGAGAACGGGAACTTTTGTGAGAATAAAAGAGAGACTGAGAATAGCAAATAAATACAAGGTATGGACAATCATTGTCCCCTTCCCCCACAGGCCTCTCTTAAGTCCTTATTCCTTATAATCTTCACACCTCACATTCCTCATCTCCCGCTGAGTTCCATGCACCTCAGAACAGCAGCCATTACCTCTGGACTGCCAAAGCCCTCCTTCCATTTCGGTCCTCAGTCATGGGTCTTTGTCTGAAATCTGTGCTTCTCATTTTCCACAACCTCTGTTCCTTTTCTCCTCCTTTAAAAAGGCCCAGCTCATGCACCAGGGAGAATGGCAGAAGTGGAGAATGTGGGATGTTCCTATTTATAGCCTGAGTGCTGAATTAAAGGTAATTAACATTATAACCTCTCATTTGCTAGTCAGGATATTTTCCCAAAGAAACGAAAATGAAGTGGGGGTTAGCTTGCCTGCTAGGTCTTCTCTTCTGTTGGAATGAAGGATGCCTTGGGGTTTCAGTCTTGAGAACTTTTATAACACCACTTCTCTGAAAAGGTGTTTCAGATGGATGGTCTAACAATAACCTTTTAGATCAGAACACATTTTGGGGGTATAAATTGAAGGAATACTTCAAAAAAAATGAACAAACCATATCACTGTTAGAAACAACTATGGACTTTGGATGGGCCTACAGTAATCCAGGCAGGCATTCTATGATGACGGTGACAGAAAAGCACACAGTTTGGAACATGAAGAGCTGGAGTCTGAGGAGCCAGACGGTCTGCCTGGTCTGACCATTTAGTTCTCAGTACACACCTAAATTCTGCATGTCATACTTGAAGTAGGGATAACAACAGTCCACTCACATCAGTGGTTCCTGCATTCTTAACTTTCAGAAAAAAATACATTTTTAAAAAATGGGTTCAAGCTTTTTATTTCTCTAAGAGTAGCCTTCTCTCTAATTTTACTCTCAGTTAATATGCCATCACTATTGTTTAATTAAATGAAGGCCATTTAAAAGTATTTTTAAAAAAACATAATATCAAAATGAAGGATAATTTTTAAGGTATTCCTTTTTTTCTATTAAAAAAATTGGACTTTTTTCTCATTTTCTCATTTTGCCATGGACCAGTAAAAATATCTTGGATGGGAACTTTTGACTCACAGGGTTACCCAAGGAACATTACAGCTATTGATATTGTAACCATTATTTATGCATATACATGAAATTAATTATATATCTGTTCAAAACGTACACTGGTCTGAATATTAATTGGAGACCAATTACATTTAACAAAAAATTTGAACATAAAAATCAGGCAGAATGAAGCCCTTGTTGCAATACAGGTATAGTAGTAAAGTAAAATCATCTTCAAAAGAAAAAATATTAAAAACTGAATATTCAATAAATATGTCATTTTCAGATTATGAACACTTTGTTACATATTAACTTTAATAACTTTGTTTCAGTTAAATAAGGTAGTTTGCTATACCTTGTTTAACTGAAAACATAAAGGCTTATGTCTTTGAGTTGCTTATGGTAATATGAGTTATAAGACAGGACAAAAATAATTAATTTTTATTGGTAAATTACTTAACTCAACTGAACAGCTGTACGGACTTTGTTTTATACCAAGTCTTTTCACATTAGCCATCCACATAACGAGGCATCCAATCTCATTAATGCAAAGTAAAATTGTTGAATATATTGCCTAATTAGCACTAGTTAACTATTTCTGTTGAAGCTAGGGAAGGTGTCAGGTCTTTAAAACAACAACAAATATGGGAAGCATTACTGATATCAAATAAACACCCTTGGCGTTGTGAGTGAGTGATTGAGGAAGTCTGCCCACTGGGAATCAGGACTCATAAATGAAATATTGCTCACATTGCTTCTGAAAAATAATAGATATCACAGTGAACATTTCCTCAAAATCCTTTTGAAACTTCTTTACAGATTGTGTGATTAATTTGTGGTAGAAAAACAGATGCATAAAACCACACATCCAAATCAAATTTGTGGGTCTTTAACAGCTTTAAAAGGAGCTGTCTAATTGGAAAGTTTGATATCTGCCACCTCGGTTCAAATTGATATGACTTATTCACAAAAAGGAAGACTGAGAGATGAATTAACAATTAACCCTAATCCCCATTATGAAAGTTTAATCATAATTAATTTGTAAAAACTGATTAATTGGTGGCATAGTTCCCGTATTTACAAGATAGAAATGTATAACATCCTTAACAGGCATAGCTATGCAAGTCAATCCTAAGCTAACTGCATCTAAAGTTTGGTGAGAAAATTCTTGATAAAGTAAATCTTTCCAACTGTTAGTTTTTAATTAGGAAGCACAATCTATTAACAGTTGAAAGTTCAAGTTTCCTTTTCTTTGTATGGTAATTAAGTATAGGCTTTCCAGATTTATTGTAGCTGTTCACTGAATTTGTGGAATTTTATCATCATTTGCTCCAACTTTTCCTGGAACATATTTATGTGGGTTAGTCCTAGATTTTTATTCTTGTGGAGTATTATGCTTTCTAAATGTCTAGTTCTAAAACAGGAACTTAAAATGTAATAAAGCTGGTCATTTAAAATTAATCACACAAAGTAAATCTAGGCTGTGATAAATTTTAAAAACACTACAAATGAATAAAAATGGGAAATATAAAATATATCACATAGTTACCTGCTTCACTGAAAAAATGTACACTTTTGGCCAATGTGAAAATATGGAGTAAGGCTGTCTAAATATGAATGTCTTCCATTGAGACAAAGAGACCCCGAATATAGAACTCTAAAGAGGGAAATAAAAGCCACTCTTGGCCTCAATTTAGTGGATGCATCTCATCCATTTTTCCAACCGAAATTCTCCACTCTTTTTTCTAGCCCCATTTTTGCACTTTATTTCTAACCTGTCTCTCATACCTGACTACAGTTCCTTTTTTTCCTTCCATTACTGAAATGCCTTCCCCTCTTTTCTCAGGTAATTCAGCTTTTTAGTGCCCTTCTAAGACTAACCACCTCCTTGGAACTTTCGCTTGTTCCTTCAGTTCCAACGGACGCTTTACTTCTCAGAAATTCACATCACTTATAACATGTACCCCAGGTATAGTCTTGAATTTACTGTTTTCAATATGTTTACTTGCTTTCTATATCCAAGCCTTATTTACCCTAACATACACTTGCAGTCAGGAACTATAAAAACAGGTTGGGGCAAAAGTAGGTTTTCAGTTATTTGTATGAAAAGTAAAACAATAATTAATAAATAATATAAGAATAAACTTTCACATATAACTGTAAACCTACTTTTGCCACATCTTTTTATGGATTTATATTTATATACATATATACACATATGTAGGCATACATGTATACATGTATCCACACAGACACACATTATTTTACATTCTTTAACTCTCCCTCTCTGCCTACCCCATCCTAAGCACCATCCATACAGTCTCAACACCAACCCTCCACTCCCCCTAAAACATGTCCATGCCTCCAGGCGTTCTCACATCCTTTATGAAATCATCAGGGCCACCAGTTCCTGAACCAATGGCAATTTCTCCCCACCTTCATCATCTTCCCTAATGAACCTAAAAGCTCATAGTCCATCAAATGATTCCTTGTTTGGCCCTTATTTCAACTTTCTTGCTTCTGATGTTTTTCCAGAGCTCAGTTTAGATCCTTTGTTCTTATCATGCTATATAAGAATAGCAAACAGATGGGATATGTGACACCACCTCCCCCACCCCTATGCCCATAGCATGCCCGCCTGCACCACAGAAAATAACTGGAGTCATTAAAAGGCAAGGGAGGTTCTGGTGGTTGCCATCTTTGGTTTCTTTACCTTTTTTTTTTTTTTGTAATATTCTGTCTCATATAAGACCAACAATTTCAATCACAAAAGTTCCAACTGTCCAAACATGTTGTTTTCAGGATCTCTAAATTAGATAACAGAGAGGGGACTATGCATTCTTTCTTTTAACCAGCTGTAAGAAAGAATGCACAATGCCTCCCAACTTTCTTTTGATACAAAAATTTAAATCATGAAACCTTTTTTGTATTATACGTTTTACAATTTAAAACAAAAATAGAAGGAACATTAACCAAATTTAAAAGTAATGTAACTGTGAAGTTTAATTCCCTTATAACTCACCTCATTGACAATATTCACTTTATTAACCTCCCCAATATATGTATTTGATGACTTCCTAATGCATATTTCTAAATCAACTGCCATCTCCCACCATTCCCCCTTTGCCAATAGAAATGCTTTACTGCTTGAACTAAATTACTTGTAGTTCTCTGAATATATCATGCTGTTCTATATCTTCAAGATTTATGTATGCTTTTTCTTATATAATATCTTCCTCCACCCTGGCTGGCGTAGCTCAGTGGATTGAGTGCAGGCTGCAAACCAAAGCATTGCAGGTTCGATTCCCAGTCAGGGCACATACCTGGGTTGCAGGCCACGGCCCCCCGCAACCGCACATTGATGTTTTTCTCTCTCTTTCCCCCTCCCTTCTCTCTCTAAAAATAAATAAATAAAATCTTTTTAAAAATTTTTAAAAATATCTTTCTCCAGAACTGGCTGGTGTGGCTCAGTGGACTGAGAGCTGGCCTGAGAACCAAAAAGTCACCAGTTCAATTCACAGCCAGGGCACATGCCTGGATTGCAGGCCACGTCCCCAGTTGGGGGTGTGCAAGGGGCAACCAATCAATGTACCTCTCACCCACTGATGTTTCTCTCCCTCTCTTTCTCCTTCACTTCCTCTTTATCTACAAATAAATAAATAAATTTTTTAAAAAATATTTTTCTCCTTTTCATTTTACTATCTCTTAGTTTTTCAGTATACAGGTTGCCTTCTCCTAGGAATCTCTAGATGTTCCCTTAGCACTCAATTTACTTTTCTTTTCCCCTATTTTCTCCTCTAAGTCCCTTAAGTCAAGGGCCTTAACATTGTATGTATGTATGACTAAACATTATGCTTCAGTACAATGCATTGCTAGTGGCAGGTGTTCAAATGCTTGAATAGGTACAACACTCTTCTGGTGGGGGTTAAGACCCTTCATTATCTGGTTCCTGCCTATGCATCAGACTCATCTCTACCTTCTGCCCTCTGACACCCTCAGTTCTAACCCCTCCTAAATACTTGTAGTTCCCAGAGTAAGTGAGGTTTCCTTTCTTACTCTGATTTTTCCTCCTGGAATTCCTACTTTTCCTTTTTCTCTCTTCTCTCTTGCTCAGCCCAAACTTGTCCTTGAATCTCAGCTTAGATATCATTTTGTTTGCTAACCCTTCATTTATACCAAGTCTGAATTTGTGACTATCCTTCTCTCTCTATGCTCATTCTTTCTTTCTTTTGTACTTACCACACTATCTAGCTAGCAATAGTCTGCTTTGTTTGCCCATTTCTTCATTCATTGAAGCCAGGGATCCCCACCACAGTATCTGGTACATAAGTGACCAATGAATGACTAAAGCCTAAATTAACAACCACATCCTCAGATGCTAGTTTGGAGATAGTAAACCTAATGACTGCCATGGGTCTTCAGCTAGAAAACCCCACACCAGCGCTGTACCTGCTTCAGATAACGAAGTCCAATGTTTGTCAAGTGACAGAGAAGGGCTGTAAATAAGCTCACAGTAGGTGAGAATGCTAAGAATCTTGAGGATCATAAGCCCCTAGACTTTGAATGCAGATTTTCTGCAAAATCTCTCTATTATAAATCCTCCCCATTGCCATGAGAAACATATTCAAATACATACGATTTGGATTGCTGCTGTTTTGGTTGCAGATTCGACACTGGGGGTTCCTCACAGGCTGCCCAGGCACGTGCTCCACCAATTTGCAATACATTTCAGGTTCTTTTTCTCCACATGTTGCATTTGTAGTGATGAGAGCATTAGAAGCAAGATTCAAGACAGCAGGGAATAAACCTGAAAAAAATGGAACAAATGAAGGTGTGGGGACCAGAAGCAATGTGCTATGATTTTGCTGCATTTTAAAATGAAGTTAAGATATTTTTCAGAGCATTAAATTAATCAAAATAAAATAATCAGTGATAAATATCTGACTTACATACAATACATACATAGCATGTATTATCAAAATAATATTTTTCTTTTTGCATCTTTAACATGGACTTTAAAGAAATCTTCTTAATTTATTAACCTCTACTACTCAATTAGAAAGTACTGTCTCTAACACATACTCTTTAAAAATCTTTCCTTCCTGTTATTGGCAAAAATGTTATTTTATCTTTCACCTTGCATTTCAGCTCTTATCTAGTACAGAGATTTTCAACCAGTGTGCCACAAGAATTTTTAAAACATGCAATACCTGACTCTTTAGTCAGGGGTATGACCTCTTTTCTATTAGACTGTCAAATAAAAAAGATGAAAACAGTCAACACACCAATACCTATCTGGTGTGAATACCCCATCTTGAACCATAAATATGTAAGTCATATAACAGAGTTGCATCTCATTGGTCATGTCACATAATAAGATTGTATTTGATTGGCTAATTCTTGGTACCAGAAATTCTTGTATATGATTATAAAGACTTGATTTTTAAAAAGTCACTTTTGAGCAAAAAAAGAGGTAATTTCTATTATTAGTCCTTTTTGAATCAATCAAAATTATACCTATTTTTGGTCAGATCAGTGAAAAACATAATATTTTTTTGGTGTTCTGCAGAATTTTAGTAAGTAGTTTATGTGTTCCATGAGATGCAAAAGGTTGAAAATCACTGCATCTATAGTAAACTATCATCATATGTAAATATTTTGCACAACTATGCACCTATATTTTTCATGGTCATTTTTCTGCTCCAATTATCATTTAATCTAAAGGGTTATTATAAGTCCTTTATATCCAGACTGAAGAAGATTGGAAATGCTGAAATTTTTTGAAAACCATTCTTTAATACCTTCTCTGCTATGCAGCTGTATTATACATCATAGTAATTCATATCATATACCAAAAATTATTTGTTAGATAAAAAAAAGTACTGGCTTCCTTAGAAACAACCTTAGAGGCCGATTTCAGTGCAGGACTGGGAGGCCTTTCATTCCATGAGAAGCCAACTCAGGCTCTTTACTTTCTGGGACTAACTGTCAATTCTGCTTCATACATGTCTAGTATTTGCATCTGATTGGCCTCTTTTCAATGATAATATAGTAAAATTACTCAGCAAAAATAATTCTTTAACTGAAAAACTCATCTTGAAGTATTTGAGATCATGGATAATTTGACTGAAGTTATGTGAGGAACATACTAACTATCTAGGAGGTTTCTGTTCTATACAGGTGCCAAGTAAATCTACAAAAATTCAACCTCTAAGCAAATGTCCTTTCCTGACTAAATCTTATGTCCTGATGTCCTGCTGAGATCCCTAGAGCTTTGAAGTCATTTCTGTCTTATCTTCAAATCTCAGCACATGCTGGATACAGAGTAAGGACTCAAAATATTTCTAAAATAAATTAATTCTAAAGTCTGGCCTCATAAATGTTCTTCTGCATCTTCTGAATAACAAAAACAACAATACATAGCATTAACGAATGTTTATAATGTGCCAGGCACCATTCTGTCAGGGACTCACACTCTACGTCTGCATGGACTAGCTTGCTACACACAACACCTGTATGAGCTACACACTACTATTACCCCTATTTTCTTAAAATGTTCACAATTTGCCCAAGAAGACAACTAGCAAGCACCAGAGCTGTGATTTAAGCCCAAGCAATCTGGGTCCAGAGTTTATCTTCTTAATCATTACACTGCATGGTTTCAACAAGTGCCATATGAAACCTAATAAATCTAGCACCAATTTGTGGTCCTGTTTAAGCTTAGAATTTCATTGAAATATGCAATAGTACAGAAAATGGAAACTAATTTTAATAATTTGAGTCCCTATTGTAATTGCTTTCAAAATTTCCAGACAGGTAAGTGAATTTATGTGACTAGGCCACACGTCAGTTCTCATCTTATTCTCTCAGAATCCCAAAAAGCTGCCTCCAAAGAATCTTCTCTGTATTCCCTCCATCCTCATATTAAGTTTCTAGAATCCCTCTGATTCTGCTGTTCCAATCCAGCCCCCACCAACCAACCGCATAGCCCTCTTGCCTTGTGCTTTTCTCGATCTTATTGTTTTTTGAAATTTCCAATTTGCCTGTGTTTGCCAGGAGTTCAGAACTTACTTTTTTCTTATATAACAGAAGTCATAATAAAACTCATTCTTCCTGATGAATTCGCCTCTCCCAGGCCACCACATCACCTTTATGCTCTAAACCCAATTCCATGGGACATCCTGTCAATGTGATGTGAGGTCAGCTAATACAGTTAGATGTCATAAATATATTAGCTGCTCATAAAACTGATATTATTCGTACTATGAGGAAATATAGAGTGTTTTTTAAAAGTACAGTGCTATACAAAGGTTATTTATCTTTTTTTTTAGTTTTAACTGATTGTGTGTACAAGGGTTATTGGGAACAATTTCAATTTTGTTCTTGCTGCCCCTGCAGAATCAGTTTAGGTAGTTCAACCCCTTCTAGCCCCTTCAAACAAAGCCAACTTTCTTACACAAACATTCTTTTGTGCAGGAGCCAACATTTCTAAAACCGTACCAGGACATTGTCAGTTTTGCTCTATGTTTTTTGTCTCCTTTCTCATCTCTGACTAGTGCTGACCTTGACCCTGACCTTGGGTTCTGCTTTGTAGGTATGGGTCAGAATTTCCACGCCCTGCTTTGGGGCAGTCCTGTGGGACCCACCTAATTTGCACTGGTCAGACCTATACTTTCTCAGATCTAAGTAATCATGAAAGGAGTTTAAAACAGAGAAATAGCTACTTAAAATTATCTTACTGTATATATATATATATATTTGCAAATATAGAATTGAATGACATCCCAATTCCCCCACAGAATTAAACAAATAAAATGTGAGCAAAATGACATGGCTATAACAGAATTTCAGGTATAGCCCTGGCTGGTGTGGCTCAGTGGATCGAGTGCTGGCCTGAGAACCAAAGGATCACCAGTTCGATTCCCAGTCAGGGCACATGCCTGGGTTGTGGGCTAGGTCCCCAGGGGCCACATGAGTGCAACCACACATTGATGTTACTCTCCCTCTCTTTCTCCTCCCCTTCCTCATTCTCTAAAAATAAATAAATAAATTATTTAAAGAAAAAGAAGTATAGAAGTATCATTCATTCAAAAACTATTTCATATTCATTAAATAATATGGTGTAATCCCCAGTAACCCCATTGGATGTGTTTTATTACTCCCATTTTACAAGTGAAGAAAGTGCAGCTCAGAGAAGATAAACAATATGCACAATGTTATAAATTAGTAAGACTAATAACTAATTAGTAAGATTTGAAATCAGCTCTTTAACTCAGATTTATTCTCTTTGAGCATGAAGAGGAGCCAAAACCCAGTCCTCAGCAAAGCTTATTAATTTATATATTTAATAAAAGAAATACTCAGTTCCCATTCCTTTGATGCTTTATTGAGTTTTTTACTCATAAAATAACCCATTATTGACATTTACATTTGTTTTTCTTGTTTTTTTTACATTGACTTGTTTCTGTTATACTTATTGATCATGTACTCAAAATTAACCCTTGCATAATTTAATTGCCTTGGTTGGTGGTCAGAGAACAGTTGCATACTAAAACTTTATCAGCTCTTTTGCTGCTTATTTTGTTTAAAAAATCAATGAAGTGCATTGGTCAGGAAAGACCCCAAATCAGTTGCTAATGATTAATTTGAAGAGTTAGTCAATATCTGAGCTTATGTTCAATCTTTAGCAGGTTGTATTATAGATTACAGACCATTTTCATTAGATATTAGCTTTATTAGGCTGTACCTATTTATTCCCATTCAAAAGCAGCAGAGCAATATTTATTGCCATATTCAATATGGGTTACTTGGTTAGGATTATGTAAACACTGCAAGTGTAAATGAACTACAAATAGTTGGTGAACCTTTATAGAGTATTGACCTAACAGACTCTTTGTTCAACTTGAGGTCATGTAATGTTAATGACACAAAAGCCAGTGATCATTATCCATACAATTATAATTGACTTTTTTTTTCTGAACAGTGGCTAGAGTAAATAAATTGTTGGATTTGTGGCTTAAAACCCAAAACCTAAACAAAACATAAATAATATTTATTCTCTCTATATTATATATTCCTGCCAAAGATGAAAATATATATACTATGAAGATAATATATTATATTCTATAATATATATTTAGTAAGCAGATGATCTAAGAAAAGTCTGTCTACATAATATAAAAAATAAAAATTTTGCTATAATATGGCAGACATCTAGAAAATTTACTAGATTTCTAATATTTTTATTTTGTATATGCTTGCTCAAATACTATAGTATGCTCACACAAGTTTTTGTCATTTCAGTGATCAACACCCCATATTCTAGATTTAAATGGCAGAAGCATTTTTAAACCTTCACATGAAGGTTCTACTTTTAATAATGTGGATTATCTTCTATTGGACCAAATCTTTCACAGATAACAGCTATAAAATAGGAACAAAATATATTTTTAAAAACCCAATATATCTGAACACATGGGAGACTAAACCCAAAGCAGGTCACCCAGGAGGGATGTGTATGCTTAGAAGAAGGAAGATACTGGAAGTTCTACAGACTGCACAATGCAAGGTGGCTAAAACTCAAAGGGAAACTCAATAAGCCACATAGCGAGGGCCAAATACCATATGATCTCACCTTTAACTGGAACCTAGTCAACAAAAGAAAAAAGCAAGCAAAATATAACCAGAAACATTGAAATTAAGAACAATCTGACAGTAGCTAGAGAGGAGGTGGGAGGGGGAATAATGGAGGGAAGGGTTTTCAGGAACAACTATAAAGGACACGTGGACAAAACCAAGGGGGGGTGG